CTGCAGGTTCAGCAAACAGTCCTCCATAAAATGCGTCACACAGCGTCACAAACTGCGAGCTAGAGTGAGGAACGGCCGGCGGACTTGAGAATGGCGCGGCCGGCGGGCTTGCGGCAACCACATGTGACATGCAAATCTTCCCACACAGTGACGTTTACATGTGGGGGCATGCTTAAACGAGGCATTTTAGGAGGGCTTGGACAAGTCTTAACATTTATAAAGAATATCTCTTTGGATTTGTGACTTTAGTCTTTGCAACTTTACAGATCTTCTTTATGCACCAAGAGCTTGTAACACTCCAAAGAGAAAGGAAAAATTTAAATCGCATACCCTTTAAGGTATCAGCCTTTCGTCATGCTGTGTCTGTGTCCTACTTCCCATCTACATCTTTGAGTGGTAGTTGGTGGTCTGTGAGGACCTCTGCTTAGATATCCATATTTGATTAGCATGATAATAGCCATCGCTGCAGAGTTTCCTGGTTTGGTGGCCCCTCAGTTTTATGAGATGGTCACAGGTTTGGAGCCTCAGCATACCTAATCTACAGCAAGAACAAAAGACCAGCTGACAGTTCCAATCAAAATTGGCTAGGCTTTGGAACAGTTCACTCAATCCAAAATCCCATCAAAAATACACTGTATGTTCTGTATATTATTTAAGTGTCAAACGTGCATACACTGAATGTTATGGTACACCCCTCTGTGGTCATGTACAGGCAATAATAAAATACATTTTAATACTACACTAACTCACAAGAGCCAAAAGCAACAGTCTGCGGACAGGACTGATTTGCTTTGCTTTCAGCTTGTGAGAAAAAGATGGGTGAACTGGGGGAGGTGTTCTTTAGTTTGGAAAGAATGGGAAATTTCTTCTGCATGAAATTTTAATAATGAGATTCAGTTTCTTTCGAAACTGTAAATGATGCATCCTATGTAGAAATTCATCAGAGATAACATGCAGATGGTAAACACAAAGGTGAAAATAGAAAGAAAGAGGCACTGCAGCTAGCAACATGACGAGGGTTTTCTTTTTTAGACATTAGACTTTAAAGCACTGAAACACATTTGAGTGGAATTCAGTGTTCTCATTCAGTATACAAGCGTGTTTCAAGGACATGAAAAGAGATTTTTTTGAGATTATGAGATATTACAAATGTCTAATTTTAAAAGGCAATAAAGGAATAGTTTAACAAAAAAAATTTGTCATCTTTTATTCACCCTCATTGTCATTCTCCTTCTTTTATAACAGTGGTTCTCAACCACGTTCCTCCTCTGGGTTTTGGAACATTGAAAGACAGTAAATTATGGTAACGTGCTTGTATAAAATAACTATTAAATTAAAAAATTGAAAACAAATTGAAAACGAAAGACACATAAAAGTACTAAGGTATACCATTATGGACATATATGGTACAACTTGCATGGTATTGTTTACAAGTACCTTGGGGGACCATAAAAAGCATAATTATCAGTGATATGGTATATATAAAAACAATCCACCACAGTACTTGCAAGAACATGTTTTCATAAATCATGAAAAAAGGGAGCTGGTAGTAGAACAGGTATAATGCTAATAAACAGAAAGTATTCAAATCATTATGCTACAACCCTGAAGCTCAGAGCTGTGGATGGGATGATAATGGTGTAATTACCTGCAATTGTATATTGCCTGTAGGTCTGTCTGCTGAGCTCTAAAATGCAGAAATTGTGAGTGAATGTTGTTGCTCAAGTCTTGTGAACTACAGTAACTCCTTGCTATCTACCATTGCCAAATTCATCTCTATATAGAGTGCTATAGGTGAAAATGCAAAACAAAGCAGCAGCATTTCAGGACAAACTGTTCCACAATAAGTCATAAACAGCCTCTATCAGTGGAACGATGCTTCTGGGCGACCTAAGGTCTGGATTTGTAATGTCGAATTGAGAGCCTGCAGCTGATGGGCTGGAACACAGCCAATATCAGCACACTTCCATTAGGGAGAAAGCCATACTCTTTTTGTCTGCTTCTGAGGGATACTCATATGTCACAATGAGTTTGGCTAATTTATGATTATGCAATATGAGTGGAGCATCTTCTCTAGCTGTGCACTGGATTTGAAAAGCACTGTGTGCAAATCAGACCGAAAAATACCCTTCTGAAAAAGAATGTGCATGTAGAGTACTGGAAATATTAAAAGTATTTTTTTTTAAACTATATTTGATTTACTATTGCTATTTTTATTATTAAATAAAGGCTGCTTAAATGTACTTAAAGGGAGTTTTATGAATATGTTTCTTAACACACTTGAGTACACCTTGTAATAATGTCACAAGTTTTTAAAGTATCCATATATTAGAAATAATTGAAATTACATTTAAACATATACTTACAACAAGTCCTACTTAAGTGGGTCAAAGAAGCACTCTCAAGTTCAACTAATTGTATTTAATAAAAAATAAAATGCTAAAAGTCTTTTTAAAAGTATGCTTTTTTCACAACGGTATACAGCTGTTTTAATGCTTATTTTCCACAGCCATTTTTCAGAAAAAAAAATGTTAATGTACTTCTACTGCTACTGTTCATACTGTACTCAGTATTGGTATTATTGTACACTTTTGCATATAAATCGTAAAATTATCAGTATTTTCAGTTGTGTGTTTAAGACCACTTAAGGAAGCACATATTTGATCTGAAGAATTTACACACACAAAAAATTGGTTCTTCAGCAGTTCTTTGTGGTAGTTGAGGTGCTATATAGCACTGCTAAGTGGTTCTTCGGCTCGTAATCATAAGGGAACCAATTTAAGTGCTATATAGCACCTATAAAAAACCTGTAATGGTTCTTCTGCGGTTCTATAGGGTTATGGTAGTATATAGCACCATATTTAAAGATATAGGTGCTATGTAGCACTTAAAGTGGTTCCCCTATGATTACTAATATTAAAGCATATGCTTTTATTGTATGTTCCATACATCCCTGGTCACGTAGTATCTGCAATTTATCTGCAACATTCAAAACCATTGCTAATCTTCTCATACATTTATCGAAGTAACTCAATAAGAATTTACATTTACATTTAGTCATTTAGCAGATGCTTTTATCCAAAGCGACTTACAAATGAGGACAATAAAAGCAGTCAAAACTAACAAAAGAGCAACAATATATAAGTGCAAATGACAAGTCTCGGTTAGCCTAACGCAGTACACGTAGCAAGGTGTATGTATATATATATATATATATATTAGAATAGAAAGTGCTAGAGTTAGAGGGTCAAAAAAAGGTGTAACAGATGTGTTTTTAGTCGTTTCTCGAAGATGGCTAAGGACTCAGCTGCTTGGATTGAGTTGGGCAGGTCATTCCACCAGGAGGGAACAGTTCATGAAAAAGTCAGTGAAAGTGATTTTGTGCCTCTTTGAGATGGCACAATAATAAGAAATGTCTGTTAGATATGCTGAGATGCAAGCAGGAGCTGCTTTTAACTAAGAATATAATATTCATAATATAATAGAAAATTAAGAATAAGCAGTATAATAATCCAATAGATTTTGCTGGCATTTCTCACTCTAGTTAACATTAGCGTCCATGAATTCATCATTCGGAAAACACTGTAGAAAGGTGGTGTGCATGGGAATGCACCAAGGAGGAAACCACAGCTATCCAAACAGAACACTACTGCCTGTCTGAGGTTTGCCAAACTCCACCTAGATGATCCATGTGGCTACTGGAAGAATGTGATACATTAATATATTGCTTTACATTCTAACGTCACACTAACATTGGTTGCAGTTCTTTCACAACATAGCTTTATTAAATTATTCACTAGCACAGACTGCTGTAAGCTCTCTCTGTATCCTTTGGATGGTACTCACAACAGGGGATTTCTGCAAGTTAACCCCCCCCTCATGATCAGGCCACCCACATTCACAGTCATGTGGCTGGGATTGGCCATTCTAAATGAGTCCAGTGTACGCATATTGAATCCTGACTGAAAGGGAATAACGGAACACAGGAAATGGCCCCTGCTTTGATATGACCACTACACTTATCTTGGAGTGCTATAGATTTTGTAGATGCTGAATGAAACCTGCCCACAAAAGACGGAAGGAAATCTAATTTCTTATACTTTTGAGAGAAAAGAAAGAAAGAAAGGAAGAAAGAAAGAAAGAAAGAAAAGTATTTTCTTAGAACGTAAAGTTGAAATCAGCTGATAAGATCACATTGCATTTATCTGCGTTCACAGACACAGCATGGCATATTACATTTTATTGCCCTTTAATTAAATTTCTGCTCTTTTCCTTGAAATTCAAGGAATTTCTTTTTTTTTTTTTTGATAATACACACAAAAAGTTGTTACTTAGATTTTTACTATGGCAATAAATGATTACCATATTCATACACCTCATTATTTATAACAAGAACATAAAATACCATACCATATAATTTTACTTGTATTTTTGGCACCATGCTGGATAACCAAGTTGTTCTCACCTGGTTTTATTTTACAACCCAGCTTTTACATTTGACATCAATTGGCAATCAAACACATTATTGCTAAATTATTTTGTAGTAAAATAAACTTGTACCACTTAAAAAAAAAAAAGTGTCATGGGTTATTTCAACATAATTTCATAATTTTGTGTTATTCGGTACCACAGTATCAAAATACTGTGACATCTGATACATCACTGATTTATATTTTGTGGACCAATCTAGTAACTTTTCTCAGAAGAGCCACATAGGCTGTATATTACGATTGCTTTGTTATGATTAGGATAACAGCTATTGTTTATTTTCTAATAGTTATCGGGGCTAAAATCTTGCTCTAGAAACACCCCACATGTGGAAGTAATGTAGTAACTCTACTATGACCGACTGGCGCAGGCGCAACCAGGCATGTCCAGCTGTTTGGCACATACTGTAGTATTATGAGAATATACATATTAACTAGAGGGGCGGGGCACGAGAGGGGGACAGTCGCTGACGCAACCCAGAGGGCGTGGCCTGTATTCTGGCGTTCCTGCCATTGAGAGGATTCAGTGTGCGGTGACTCGGGCGGAGTCGGCTTTACTGTCGGGAAACGAGCTCAATCATTAAGTTAAAGTATTAAAAAAAAAAAACACTCAATTAGCGTGTTGAAATTTATCTTACCTCTGGATGTTACTTCGCCAAATACGCGTCGTATGAGGTGTGTTTTATAGCGGTTGTGGTGAGTGGATTTGTTGGAGAGCTGCGTAAACTGGAGTTACGGGAAGCGAAGGAGATTTTCTCGGCCCTGGTTTTCATGAACGGGCACTTTACAACTTACTAAAGTTCGCAGATATACTTCAGCTGCTCTCTATTTTCACCATTCCCCGGTACGTATGCTTGTTTTATGAAATATGCAACGTATTTAGGATTGGTATATGTAATGTTGAGATTATGGGAGGTTTAATAGGATCGCTTTACTGTGTCGATTGTTCCAGCACAGCGTGTCCCAACTGGCTCTACGCGCTCACTTCACATTATTGACTCTGGCGATTTATTTTCTACCGCAACCGTGCGTTTTAGCGTCGTAATTGAATATATAATCTTTCTAAAATTATTTTGCGTATACGTTGATGTATTTCGCTCTAATAATAATATGTTATATTATTTAAGGCTAACGTTAGCAAATATGCTAACCCTGACCACGCAAGATTAATATAAATCTATAAATAAAGGCGTCTCCGATTAACGCCACAGGCCATGAGATTACAGCCAGTTCGATTTTATTTTATCTATGGTGGGTGATTTGTATCTGATTTGATTGTGGTTTTCAGTCTTAATGGTGCACTTTAATACTATGAAGTTGCACTTTAATTGTCTTTTTATTTAAACAATTCACACTGGGTTAGTTTATGCCTGGCTAAATTGTTTACGTTTGATCTTAAAATAGCGCCGATTATTAATCGTAATCTGTTACGTGAAACTCAATCGAGAGTTTTGCACGGTCAGCATTGCGACTCTTTGGAGTTTCTTCTGCGCCATTTGTTCTTTTATTTGCACTTGTCCAAAAAGTGTGTATCTGCATTTGTGTATTGTATTGTGTTGTGATGCTTTCTGAGTCAGTTTGTCAGTTTTTTTTAGGCATGTGGTGTTTACAATTTTGAAAGACGTTTGTTTCATGACAGAGAAAGAAAAATAAGCATTCCATCAATCCTTTCAAAATACTATAATATAAAATGTAGCTAAAATTTGTTAAAAATATCAAGCATTTACTCTAAAGCTGCAGCATATTTATAACCTATTGTTTATACTATTAAGCTACTACAGCAAATAAACAGCTGCACACTTAATTTTTTGTTATTATTTGTTGGATTATTTGTTTTTATTTGAGCACATAATGTACAACAATTACAGTGTTTCCCCATGGAAGTTGAGTCTGTGTGTAGTGTGGTGTGTGTAAAATGGCTTCTCTTCTGTGTTTCAGGTTCGAGTTACTCTGTGAGATTCACAGGATAAGGCCTCACACAGATGGGAAAAGTGTGTATAAAGCACCTTGAAGGTGCACCTAATCATTGGACTATTAGTTTTACATAATCCACTCATCCTTAGAGACTACAGTGTGTGTGATGTTAATAAAGGCTTAAAGTTAATAAAAAAACTTTTTTTGACTCTAGCCTCACATTCAAATATTGGTTCAAAGAACCTTTGTACATGATCATTATCATTTTTGTGACACCAAAAGTTTGAGACGACACCATCAAAATGAGTGCAGAAGGATATCAGTACAGAGCGCTGTATGACTATAAGAAAGAGAGGGAGGAGGATATTGACCTGCATGTAGGGGACATTCTTACAGTCAATAAAGGTTCACTACTCGCAGTTGGTTACACTGAGGGGATGGAGGAGAGACCAGATGAAATCGGATGGCTGCCTGGCTTTAATGAAACTACTCAGGAAAAGGGGGACTTTCCTGGTACGTACGTGGAGTTCATCGGCAAGAAAAAGATTTCTCCACCAACTCCCAAACCAAGACCCCAAAGGCCTTTACCGGTGGCCCCAGGGCCCGCAAGGCCAGACTCGGACTCTGAGCAAAGTGAGTGAGCTGTTTTTTGTTTTGTTTTGTTTTGTTTTTTCATGAATTTTATTTTCAGCACTTTTTTAACCACATTGAGTTCTCAGGAAATGTTGCTAACTGGGTTCAATCCTGCGTTGGCTGCATAAGCACCCCAACTTGGTGCACTATGATCCGAATGAGCTTGAGAATTCAAAATATTTATGTCTCAAACCCTCTACCTGTCTACCATTTTGAGCTGCTGTTTAGATAGTTACTTAATTCCACAGAAGCTGTCTATAGTTAACCTTTAGATTAATATTTGGTCACCAGAGTTGACCTTAACCAGTGGTCACAAATCAGGTCGTCTTTTATTTAGAGTATAAAAATTGTCGTCAACCATTTTAGCTCGGTTTCGTTGGATCTCAGGGTGCATAATTTTAACAAATTCTCTTTCCTCTTAACTAGATCCATTCATGTTGATGCCAAACCCACGTGCCTCTCTCAAAATACCCACTCACCACTTTTTCCATTTTCGTGACTAGTGACCAGATTTTACACCACCATTTCATCAAGAGATTGGATTTATAGCTGCAGCACACAAATGTCCCCTGAATATTTAAGGCTGTTTTAGGTTTGCACTGGGCTATGGTTCGTAATTGCAAACATGGCAGGAAGCCCAGATCTGGATGAAGGCCTGCACACAGTAGTTTGTAATTGTCTAGCATGGCTGCATCTTTTGCACAGCCACAGTATGAGCATTTAGAGCCCCCTATGGCTCCTTTAACATATCACCCAGATCTCTTAATCTGTAGTTTTGGTCTACGCTGTCCTCGTGTGCCAACTGTTACATTTCTATTCTAGTGATGTGACCAGCAATGTCTAAAAAGGCTTCATCTGTATATTTATTGTACATGATACAATACAGATTCTAAGGGGACTATCATGCTTGAACTTTTGTGGACCCAAATCCATTTGACGAGTTTCCATTTGATTTGTTTGAGTTTAGTTTGTGTGGAAATGTTTGTCAACAGTCAGTATCTTTGCTCTTCCATTTGGCGATGCTAATGGTAGAGAAAGTATTTACATTTTAAACAAAGTGTGTTTAATTTAACTAGGGCTGTGCAAAAAATCGAATGCGATTTTCATGCGCATCTCGTCAGTAAAGCCGCTCCTGTGATTAGTAGTAAATCTCCAGCACGTGCTTTCAGATGGAGAGGCATTGACTACACAGAGCCGTAGTTCACTGACAAGCTACACAAAATCGCGTTCATAATCGGCAATGAATCGCCTGGGATTTTGAACGCGGTTTTGTGTAGGGCTTGTCAGTGAACTACGGCTCTGTGTAGTAAATGCCGCTCCATCTGAAAGCACGTGCTGGAGATTTACTACTAATCACCAGAAGCGGCTTTACTGATGAGATGCACATGAAAATCGCATTCGATTTTTTGCCCAGCCCTAAATTTAACCCAGTTTCCCATACACAGCCAGTATTCTTTTTTGTTTTTTTTCTTGTTTGCCTCGGTTGTCATGGTGACTACTAAGTTAGATGTGTTTTTCAGGTTATCAGGTTATGGAACATAGATCATAAGTGAGATATGCCACTCAGAATCATTGCTGTTGAAAAGCAGTGGCAAACTTGTTTGCTACTTCCTTGTCCTATGTGGTTTGATGCATAAAAACATGAGCACATACCTTTTTTTGATCTTTTGATGAGAGCTATTTTTGTTTGACGAAACCCACCTAACTTTTCCCGGAGGTCACGATTGCTTAAGCAGCATGACTGTGGCTAAAGTGACACTATGGCCTCTTTCTGTTCTGAATGACTATTCCGATTTGTGTCCATGTTAAAGAAAGGGAGAGATATAGAGAACGGAGTTTTGCGGAATGTAAACCAGAAGCAGATCTGGATGATGGCCAGAGCTCTTGGCATTATGCTTCTCTCACAGTAGAAACAGGACTCAAACCCTGATCCCCCACACCACCACTAAAACCACATAAAATTCCAGACAAATGTCCAGCTATAAAGCCTAAGCACTTTTGACTTGGCTGTGACAATTTGAAGGACTGAAACCTGAGGCTGTTTTTTTACACTGTACACTTTTAGGTAGATCTCTGGTTTTTCTTCCTCATTTGAAATGACTAACTTATACTTTTTTTTTCTTGAATTTCCCTTAGTCAGTCTATTTGCATTAGTGTTGCATAAAGAATCAGTGCAGAGAGAAGTGAAATGCCAGAAAATGATTCTCAATATTGATGCTTGTGGTATTTCTCATTGTGACAAATGTTATTTCTGGTGAAACTCCAGAGCCAACTGAGCTCATTTAGAATTTTTTTTCTCCTTTTTCTTTAAAACTAAAAAAAATAGGCAAATAGAAATTGTGGTTTCCACAACATAAAAATGGTACTAATGGGAAAACGTCACAAAGACTCACAGCATTATAATAGACTAGACTGTGTTTAAATGAGTGATAGGAACCATTGCATCTTGACTCCCAGAAACTGTTGTTAAATGTTCTTTTCAGGTCCAAAAGCTGTACAAGTCAGCTTAGTCCCCAAAAACATATACAAGTCTCATAATTTACAGTGGAAAACCCATAAATTGACATTCACAGAATTTTTTGCGTGACACCCCACATTTGTTAAGTTTCATTATTTTAGTGTTACCATGATGGTACGGTAAAGTTATGGCAACCACAGCTGCCTTTTATTTTACTGTAACCCTGTCAGACCTGACGAAGGGGATTAAGGAGTGTTCAGTTTGGGACCTCTAGCTCTCTCTGTCTCTCTCTCTCTCTCTCTCTCTGTTTGAGCCGCAGGGGCTCGCTGCAGAGAACAGCAGATGTGGAATTCCAGTCCAGTCCGTTCTGGCTCCCAGGCTTTTTTATAACACTAACATGCTCCTTTCTGCGGGCCTCTGGACTGGAGTGAGAGGATCCGTATGTGCCCAGCCCAGATTTTTTCCGTTTCTGTTCCGTTTTTTTCCCCGTTTTTTTTCTGGACTCCTTTTTAATGGTTAAATTACATTTTATTAATCAAACCGCATGTCTAATTAATTAAAATCATGAAACTTAAACAATTTAACATCAATTTATTAAAAGTTTAACAAATAATACATGTTTAGGGCCCTATGAAATGTTTTTATTTTTCCAACCTTATGTTTTATTGTAACCAAATTCTGTTTTAGCATGTCTAATCATTTGAAAGCATAAAACAAGTTTTACAATAATATAAAAACAATAATTTATTCTTACAATAGCCTTATGCTTTTTTGCTCAGAAATTCTGTGTTGTGTATTTACATTTTGTTTTAAGGCATAAAACATTCATTTAATCTATCTTTTAAGTAATGAAAACTAAACAAATTTTATTTTTTGGAAAATAAAGGTCATTTAATATTACAATTAAAACATTGAAGAAATATTGAATGCTTATTCCTTAAAAATAAGGTTTTAATCATTTTAGTAGTAGTAGTAGCAGCCTGTTACGTACATTCAACTCAACAATAGTAATATATTTCTGCCAATGCCCTCGAATTAAACCGAACTTTTATTTTGACGGGTTGCCGTGAATACCATTACATTTCTGTGATGACATGATGTATATGACATGATGATAGTTTTACTCAAATGAAACGGTCAAATGCTCATGAAGTGACTCTCAGAGCAGTTCTGGAGATGTTGTTCATGTATTTATGTCCTCATTAGTGAGACGGCAGACGTTAATATCACCGGAAGCGTCACGAGCGTTTCAGTACGAGTACTACACAAAACCGCGCATCTGCGCCATTCATTAACACAGAGACACGCAGAATTCATATTTAAATATGAATCGTTTTGCGGCTTAATATTTACAAATACTAGTGGGAGTGGGCTCACTGTGTGTGTGTGTGTGTGTGCGCATCGGGCGGAACTCCGCTGTGCGTGATGCAGAGAGCGCGACCATAACGTAGAGACCGAAATGACATGCGGTCGTGTAAATAAGATAAATAACATAAGACTATTTAGTTTGCTTAATAAAAGAACAAGGTATATACCTGTTCTATAGGAAAGGTCACTTTAAATGACTTCTGTTGTGATCTGGCGCTATAGAGAAAATATAATTAAATATTAACTTGACCTTCAAGGGGGGCGGGGCGGGCCGCCCCCCTAAAATAATGGCAGGGGAAACACTGCAATAGGAAGACGATTACAACTTATGTTTCATATCAACTTGTATAGCGGAAATATATATTTTTTTCAATGGCCAATATATAATTCAATAATAAATATGAGGAAATGACTAAATAAATAAGAGCTGCAATGGTTACAAAAGTGGACTAGTCATCCAAAAACTTAGTGATTTGATAATATTTTTCTTTTAGCGGTGACATTTTTAGCGGTGCTTTAGTTAGCTTGCTGTGTTTAAAGCTGTTAGATGGTTTCCATTATTAAATTTAATTAATTTAACTAATTTAATATTCCTTCTGAATGTTTGAGTGTCCCATCAGAAGCGTTATGTTTAAGACTCGTGAAGTTAAAACAATAAAAAAAAAAAAAAAAGATTTTCTACAGCAGGGTTTCCCAACCGGGGTAGTAATTTCTTTATTTGTTCTTATTTTATTATTAACTGCATAGCCTCCTTGTCATTTTTTTTTATTCAATTCAAAGTTTTAACCCTTTAAGCCCTGAAGGCATTTTTGCCTCACTGAAGTTTTCTGAGTGACATGCACAAAAATAATAACTCATAACTTGAAGACTATAGCAAGGAGAGTCAAAAGGTTGGCCTACATGACCTAATTCTTTTCTATGTGTTATAGCTTTATGAGAGATATCTTTAGATCTGAGTGATGGCTTATGGTGAGTTTGGGCTCTTTTTAATCGGGAGAATTTTCTGCAAATAATGACATGTCGTTTTCTATTATATATGTAGCAGTACACTTCGGTTTAGAGGGACTGCTTAGCGCTCGTTAAGAGTTGATCAAAATAATTACATCAGTGTTTCCGCTGCCATTATATTAGGGGGGCGGCCCCTAATTAATTGTATTTAATTATATTTTCTCTA